GGGAAAAGGTGGGTCTGCACTTGATGAAGACTGGAAATCATATTTGTTGGCACACCTACGCCCTGAAAGTCCTCTGGGAGTTGTCTGTGGCCTTTAGATTGCGTCTTTCTGCTGCTCCTGCTCTATTTCTGTCTTCTCTGCTTTCGTTTCTCCCTGCTTCTTCCAAAAAAGCTGATGTGAATCTTCCTTTTATAACATCACATCCCCTTTGCTAAGTGACAGTTGTCGCTGACTTCAAGTTCCTTGTCAGGTAATTCATCGCTTGATACCTGCTCACCTAAGCATCTCTTAATGTGATAAATTTCTTTGAGGGTGGCATCACAGCCTGTATGGGATTTAAAGGAAGGAGCACAGATTGTAGGATAGCATTTTGGGAGAGGCACTGGGAAAGCAGAGTGTATAAATATGCCAAGTGTAACTGCAGAAACTGTGTGCAACAGCAGCACATAAGCAGTGGTCATGGAACCACTGGCATCTTTGAGGTCACATTAAGTGCTTTGCAGCCGGACTGCAGACCCATGTTGAAGATAAATCTGCGAATTTATCACTGGTATGTGAATATGTGGCTGATCTAAGGACAAAGTTTGAGAGCTGGTAGCTGAAGGTTGCCAAGTTTAGAAATCAGCCTGTTAAGGTCAGAGTGCCTTAAAGGGGAGGGTAGAAGATGTGCAGTCAGGAACTCCCTGAAAGGAGGAAAATACACTTGAACCTCAGTGACTGAAGAGACATCCATAGAAGAAGCCCAAAGTTACAAGTGAGTGTCTGGATGCTGTCTTGCTCCTGTGCTGCTTTGGCCACCTTTCCCCTTTGTCTCCCCTCACAATCAAATTAAATTGCTGCAAGTAAGGACGCTAGGCTAAAAGTTTGGAAATTAAAAAGATAAAATTCTGGAAAGTGGAGCACAAGGAAAACATCAGACAAGGCTTGGAGAAGGGTGTGAGAAGTAAGAGTGTACTCAGAGTTAAACATGGACTTCGATGAATTGCAGAGGACTCAGCAACTTAGTTGATCAAACATATCAAACGTGTCAAACAGTGTGCCATCAGTGAATTTCAATTAAATGTTCAGCTTTTCAATTTGTTGTTTAGATTAATGCATGAGATCATATGCAATAAATCACAACTTATTATGCGTGTTTATTAATAGCTTTATATTTAGGCAGTGAGGATCAATAATGTTAACACATGTATATAATTAGAATGTAATAAATCAGGCAGCTTGTTTTATTGGTTTTGCTGGGTAAATGAGTATTCCAGGCTATTTTGCAACCTCACCTCCTCCTCTGCACAGGATTTTGAGGACTAATATTGATTGACTTTATTTGGAATGAATACAGAATTGTAATATCCACTGGTGCTCAAATGAAACCCCAGTTCTGTACACTCAAGCAAGTATTTTATTGTAGTTAGTGGGAAGGGGTGCTGGGAAGGGGGGTTTTGTGTTCTAATCTGGTGCCTACTGGTGTGTACCTGCTGGCGTGGCATGGCATCACTGTGAAATGATGGAAACGCTTGCTATACTGCAGGTGGTAGCAGGAGAAAGAAGACTTTGCAGGATAGTATTATGTGATTTTGGTTTTATTTATGAAAATACTAATGTCCTATCAATAATGCAAACTGCACATCTGGTTTTCAGACATGGTTGAAGAGATCTGAGAGAAGATCAGCTCAGATGACCTTGGATCTTGTTGTAGCTTACTACATTTTTTGAAACTTACTTGATTTCCTTAAAAACAAAAATACAAGTAACTCGTTCTCACGAGCTACTTACGTTGTCTTTTCTGTATTCTCTAAAACTTAAAAGTGAGTTTGTCTATGGTACGATAGCACTCTAGTTATCATCAAAATGCTTCTAAAAACAGTACTCAGATGATAATTGCATTGAACAGACTATGACAGTTTTTAGTTACCATGATAATTACTGCAACCTTAATGCCTGTGGGACTTTGACATGATGCTCTTCAATTTTATGCTGTATAGAAGAAAGAGTTACAGGACAGCATACTCTACAATTTCTGGAATCTCGTCTTTGTTTAATTAAACGTCTAATATCTTTCCTTTAGTCTTAATGATAAAGTGTGGGTTTTTATGATTATTACTATAACTTCAATTAAAGCATTAAATCTGTTTGCTTTCAAGAAATAAAACAGTTGAGGAGAATTTTTTTTAATTATACTGCACTTATCCTCTGATGTTGGCTCTCTGACATGCTATGGCACTTTATTTAACATGCTTCATGCCTTCACAAGGTGGAATTTAGTTTAGATACTGAAGCAAACTATCCTATAAAATGCTATGTTGTAAATATAAACCTTTATAAACCTCTCGGGAGGGCCCTTCTTAAAGAAGAATTAAAATCTTCCATGATTCAGACCTATAAAATGAAAAGTAGCCCCTGCTCTGAGTATTAATTTGCACTGCAACCCCCTAAATCTTACCTTACGTTGACTTGACTCTTTGGAATTCATACTTAGCATAGCAAAAAATTGTTGCCTTTTAATGATGCTTTTATTACCAAAAAAAGTGCCTCCAAATAGAGACAAACTTAGACAAGCTAGTCTGTTTGTAACACACTGTATTAAATACAACACGTGCAGAGAGATTATATGATTAGTATCTTTAAATCGACACCTATTTTTCATTTTGCTGTGGCTTTGTTTGCTTACTTTTGTTTGCTTCCCCTGTCCCACAGAACCACCATATTTTACGGCTGAGCCCGAGAGCGTGATTTTGGCTGAAGTGGAGAAGGACGTGGACATCCTGTGCCAGGCGATGGGTGAGTGTGCAGAAGTGTTCGAACTTGGATGAGCGATATTCGTATATCCAGTGCTGAAGAAAGCCTCTTATATAAACTTTTAATGTTTTGAGGCCTCTGCATTACTGCTAATTATCACAGGATAATTAGGGATAGGGATAAGGGAGAGGGATATAAGGAAAGGGGATGCCTTTGCCCTTGGAAAATTGTGCAGTCCTTGTAGTTTAGTTTAGGTGTAGTAATGCCGACACGTTTGTGTTTGTCTGTTGGGCAGGGCGACTCCTGCTCCCTTCCCTCTGGTAGCCTGCCTTTGCTTCATAGTTGTCGCTATATAACAGCCATTAGTGGCTTGATCCAGAAAATCAGCTGAGGTGAAAGTATGGTTGTGGAACCCATCCCGTCATTTGCAATGCAAACAGTCAATATTTTCAACAATTCAAATGTCCTTTTTTCTGAACATTATGGAACTTTTATACTGAATAGAAATGTCAGTAACTCTGACATTTAAGCGCAGTTAAGAATTCTGCAGGAGGACTACTACAGGCAATTTTTAATTGGCCGGTGTTTTAATAACATAAAAGGCTTCAAATGTCTAGAATTCCACCTAAGCGGTTTTCAAGATTTAGTTCCAGAGAAACAGAAGCACCACCTACTTTAGCACTCTAGTAAGGTAGGAGGCATTGTAGTCTTGCGGTTAGAGCAGGTTTGTCTCTGTCACCGAACTGCGACATGGCTTTGGCAAGCAGCTGAACTTTTTGTCGTCTCACTTTCCCTGATGCTGACTTTAACAAGTAATACACATCAAAATGCCATGAGATCCTTAGGTAAAAAATACACAACCTTGATTAAAAAAACCACCCAAACCTAACTAACACTTTGTTTGGGTGGGTTCTTCCTCCAGATCAGAGCCAATAAAGATACTCTTTATTGCGTGATTATATTATTTCCACTATGATTTAAGCATTTTTTATGCTTTATGTAGGAAAGAGGCACCACTGCTTTTCTAGAGGGAAGCTTTGCAAATACGATAGTGCGATAAGCAAGCATGTGTGTAAGGGTGCTCCAGTTGATTTAGAATTCAGAAGCCCTTGATGAGGTCTCTTACCAAAAGGCTTTTACAGAAATGAAGCTATCAGGTTATAAAAGACAAGGTCTTGTCGCTAATTAATAGCTTTTTAAACAAAACACAGCAGGACCTGCTGTCAGTGGAGTTCCCCGGAAATCTATGCTGGAACCTGTGCTGTTCAACATACTCATCAATGCCCTGGCAAAGAGGGTGAATAGCAAGATGATAATATTTGCTGATTATATAAAATTATTCAAGATACTCAACATTAAAACTGACTGCAAAAGTTGCAGAAGGTTCTGATGATTTGAATTGACTGGACAATAAACTGGCAGATGAAATTATTGACAGAGATGAAACTACTTTCTACTATGCAGAAAAGTTATGTCTTCTGAAAACATCAGTTCAGTGCCAAGCTGTGGTTTGAAATGTTAGGTACTGGGAAGAAAGGAATAGAGAAAAGATAAGAGAATGTCACTGTATGAATCCATGGGGCAGCACCCCCATCTCAAATACTTCACACAATTCTAATCACTCTATTGGAGAGAGGGATGTAGAAAAACTAGAAAAGATACAAAACCATAGGAATGGTATAATTAGAGGACTACCATGGGTTTTGAATAATGAAAAATAAAATTGACTGGAACACTTTGCGAAAGAGATGACTGAGGGGCGGGTGCCATATAGGAAGGTGAGTAGGAGAAGATGATTCCATATTGCTTCATGCAAGAAGTAGAGGAAGCACCCAGCTAAATTTTCAGGTAGGAGATGTGTGATAAAGGAAAGTGTACTTTTTCAGAAAACATAAACTGTGGAGGTCATTGGTCCAGACAGTAGTTAAGATCAGAAATAAAAATTATTTAGAAAAACAAAATTTATGGAAGAAAAATCCAGTAAGGACTATTAAACACAACTCTGTGTGTTCAACCTCTATCTCAGGAAATAGCTAAAGCACAGATTACTGGAGCTGAGAAGGTGGAAATAGCACTTTGTCCTTGGGCTGTTCTTGCTTTTTGTGCCTGAGCATCCAAGACAAGACAATTTTATAGGAAGGAAAAGTGACTAGACAGACATTTATTCTGGCCATGTGCCACCAACTTTATGTTTCAGCATATAGTATGGCAAACATATTGGCATTTTTTTATTGGGGAAGATTTTTCAAGTAGCAGAATTAAAACTATGTGTTGTATTATTAGAGAAATTGAGTTAAAAAAACATTCTGAGATTTTTTTTTTTAAAAAAAATGTTTTGATCCTACACCACTATTTGACGAATCTCTGGACTATCTCACTGTCACTGAAAACACCTATCTGCTGGCTCAAATGTTTTTCATGTATTACCAAAAAAAAACCCCAAAACCCAAACCCAAACAACCTCCCCGCCCCCCAAAAAGAACAAAACCAAAAACCCCTGAAGACCTGGAGGAATCAGGGGAAGAAGAGGTTGACTTCTAACTCATCCTTCTACCCTAACTCTTCCTTTGAGCAGTTTAGCTCCCCAGGGGATTAATAGGGCACTCATAACCATTCTCAGTAGATGAGGTCTTATTGGAGAGCTGGGAACCCTTACTAGAGAAAATAATTTATTTCTGCTGAACATTTCTAGTGCGCATCTGATTTGCTGCTGAACGTGGTGCAGGAGCATGGAAATCTGTCTTCACGTGGATTATTTTGCTGAGTATCTGTAACAGACTTGTAAGGGGCAGATACTAGTATTAAACATAAAGGAATTTCGATCCATTATTACACATACCTGGCAGTTGCCAGCATTTAAAAAGAGGGTAAATGAAGGTTGCTGTCTCCCTGCTCCTAGCTAGGAGCTAGAATAAAGCACTAGGGGAACTGCAAAGCTGCCCTGGACCTTTGCTACAAACAGGAAGACAGACTGTATTTCCCCCAGCCCCATCGAGGTCTGTGCACAAAGCCCATTTGCCAAGTCTTGGTGCACTTTGGATGTGTGAGAGACAGATTAATTTCACAGAATAAACAGAGATTAACTGTATATAAAACTGCAACTTGCACAGACTGGCTTTATACTTCCCTGTAATGGAGTTCTGGTGTACCAGACTGCGCAGCAACCATGCTCTGCTGTAGATATCTTTCAGCAGTTGCTGATGCTGCCTGCATTTTCAATGGGTTTCCTTTAAATGCTTTTTCTTATTTGCTTATAGAAAGTTTGCAGCTGCAGGCAGCGGTGGTTGTGTCTAGGGAGTGCAGTTAATTGGACTTTAGTTCTACCTGTTTAGACAAGTAGATGGAAAGATGCTTTTGGGATTCCCCAGTAGCCCACTGGGATCTAGAGAAGACTATAGAAAATAAATAACAAAAACGACACGGTGAATATTTCGACTCTTTTATCCAGGTTCTTAAGTAAGTTAAATTTGGCAAAGAGTCAAGCATCTGGTTCACAGATGGGGAAACTGAGCCCCAGATTGCATAAATTATTTGCCCAAGGTTACAGAGAAAGTGGCGAAGCCAGAACCAGAGTCTCCGTTTCCTGCCTTCCCTTCTCCTCCATAACAGTAGATTAATTTGTCTGTGAAAAATGAGTAGTGCTGCATACCTGCTGAGAAATAAGCTTGTTTTATTTATTATTGCTAGGCTTTTAGGCCACTCTGTAATCTCTCAAGCAGTAAGGTAGGCCTGATACTGCTTGGAAAAGTATAGTCCAAAAGGTCTTTAAAGTGTTTTCTTCTGTTCCTAATTTTTTCACCAGAAGTGTTTGGAGGGGAGAAGGAGCAAAATTCCTTTGGGGGTGGGGAGAGGAAAGCTGTGGGGTAGGAGAGGGGGAGAAGAAAGGAAGCTGGTTTTAACAGCTTTTATAGCCAAAAAGGTAGCAAAATGATAAAAGAAAATGTGTACAACTTGGAAGACAAATCTCTCTGGGAAGATCACTAAAGCCCAAATGAATGCTGCTGACAGGCATCAGAGTGCTTAGATAAGATCCTATTATTCAGACTCATAACTTTGAGTAGAGGAAGATATCCGTAACCGAAATGTAGAAAAATAGAGATGGTAATATTCAGTTTGTCAGCTGAGGTGGTGATAGGAAGGTGTACCTCACAGTGATTATAGGATTAGAAGGTTTGCTAATACTGTTAGTAGAATGGGATTTATGGAATGACACCAGTGTTAAAGGTTTGAGTGTGCTGAATGCAGGATTTCATTATTTCCTAGGTGCCTATCAAGTCTAATGTGTGGGAAAATGGAGTTGCTATTATTTAAACTTGAAATCATTTCCAGGCTTCTCGGCATCAGGAGAACTATTCCATTTTGCATCATCTGTTTCTTCATTACTCAGTGATAATTTGTATTTGCCCAGGAGGATTTTCAAGAGTTGAGTAACACTCTCACTGAGAATTCTGAACACTGAAATTTACGCTAATTCTGTATATGGGCTGTTGTATGAAATTTAAATTATGCCTATTGCAAGCTACCACACTATGTCTATTCTCTATCAGACAATGCACTCTACATAGTGGATTTCTTCCTGCGATGATTACCTTCTAGATTATGAGTCCATTTTATTTTATCAGCAGAACAAAAGCATCAGAGGTGATTGTAGTAAATGATACATGTTTATAAAAAGTAACAGCAGCAATTGAATGTTGTTTTTCAGTCGTTCCATACATTGTTTGTACATTCTTTCCGGGAGTTAATATAGCTTTTGTCTGTATAAAGAGAGTAAGTACACTGAGAGAAGGTATGAATGGAAGTATAATAAAATTGTATTTAACTTCGAGATTTTTAAAATGATAATCATGTTAATATGGATCCTTCCCGTAGCGCTTTCGCTCTAAGAACCTTAAGTCATTGCCAACATTGCAGTGGAATTCATTGTCTGCAGATGCTCAATTCATCAGTGACACCCCATCCTTAATGCTTCCGTCATACCCCGCTTTTCTCTATTTCAGCAAATTTCCCTCACCCGTGAGTTTAAGTCCACAGTTCCTTACCTTATTAGAAGAGAATGTGAAGCTCGGAGGTTTAAGTGATACGTGTTCAAAATAGCTACCGATTATGAAAATGCCATGTTTGGGGCCGAGATAACTTAAATCAGCTTGATACCCTTGTGATCCTGTGATTATCCAATCACAGAATGTCTGCTTCGCTCCAGGTCCCTGCATAGGGCCCTTCCGTATTTGATCAGTGAGGGATTTCTGGGATAAGAAGATAAAAGATTGTCTGATATGAGGAGCAGGATGGGAACGTCTGTGTATGACTCTTCTAGGCCCCTGACATCTCTCGAAGAAAAAAGAATCCTACACTATTTGTATATACTAAATTCACAGCCACTTCATCCCAGCTGACTGGGATATAACTGCAGCAAAAATATATGTGAAATAACTGTGTCAGGGTTTGTAGAACACGCGCATGAATGAAAACAGGAATAAACGGGACTGTAAGTTATATCTGGGGCAGGATTTTTGTTTCTCCTAATGTCTGCATTTTTCAAATAACAGGTGAAGCTTGAGAATAAATAAAAATAATAATAATTTAAAGCTTTCCCATTGTTGGCAACATGCTGTTTGTATATCAGCTCAAACTAAGCTGCCAAATTAGCACTCAAATACAGTCATGTGAGCACTTTATTTTTTTGTGTGTGTAATTTGCCATTTCCTTTTTATTTTGACATCTTAGCTACAGTAGCACAGAGGAATCTTATTTGGGATGGAACAGTCTCACAGACTTGCTGCATTGCCACACTGCTCTTGTTTAAGCAGCATGATTCTAGCTTTCAATGTGAAATTGCTGTAAATCTTATTTTGTAGTAGCATGAAATATGATTGGATGAAGAAAGTAATTTGATAACATGTTTTCTCAACATTTCCCCTTTCACTGTTTGCTCGCTTTATTCCCACGTGTTCTGCAGTGTATTATTACCATTGATAATGTAAGATGCAGCCTCCATTTATCAAAAGCAGCTTGTAAAAATATAAATAATTGGTGTGGAAGGATGGGAAACCAGGGATATGACCATGATAGTGCCATGTATTTTGACTACCTAAAATGTGTTGTGTGAAGACTAATGGCAATTTTTTTTTTTTTTTAAATGTATTAGGTGTTCCTATTCCCACTCTGGTCTGGTATAAGGACTCTGTTCCCCTCAGCAAGCTGGAAAACCCCCGCTACAAAGTACTGCTGAGTGGTGGGCTCCGGATCCACGCGCTGCGTCCTCAGGATGCTGGAATCTTCCAGTGTTTTGCTAATAATAAAGCCGGGGAGATACAGACGTACACCTACCTGGATGTGACTAGTGAGTAAGGAGCTGCAATAGAGATCAATGAAGTTGTCTTGTCATTTCTATAGGTGACCCTACATCCATCAGATTTCTCCACCGCTCTGTGCTTGTTTAGTTCGACTCGCAGAACCTTGATTTTCATCAAGTGTAGGTGCCCTAGCTGTGAGGTACCCCAGAATGCCCTCTGTGGCCTGAATGCAATCTGCTGAAGCCTGTAGAAAAACTTTGCATGACGTTAGGGGCTTGAGGTGAACTCTCCTATTTTATGCTACAAAAGGAGAACTTAGTGAAAAGGGGAGGAGGTTGATTATTATTCTCTTATTACCCTACCCTTAATTGGTTTAGTGTGGACTTGGTAGTATTAGGTTAATGGTTGGACTGGATGATCTTAAAGGTCTTTTCCAACCTAAACGATTCTATGATTCTATTCTATTGTGTAATGCTTTTGTCTTGCCTTTATACTTAAACAATTTAGTTCTACTCTAATGTAATTTGGTTCTGAATTCAAGCTACTGCTTCATGATTTTGCATGGTATCGTTTTATCTGCCTTTTGTCTGCAACTACATTTAGCAGGGGAAAGAAAGAAAGTTCAAGTTAAAGGTCTTTTTTTTTTCTTTTTCTTTTTTTCCTTTTAGCCAAAAAGTCTGATTAAATGGTTTTGTTAATGAAGTACACTTTTCTCTATGGAAGAATTGCAAATCCTAGTAGTCTCTTTTAAAAGCAATTATTAACAGGCATATCTGTAATACTTTGCTTCAGGAAGCTAATTGTTAGCCCAAGAGCAGTTTACACATACTGACCAGAATTCCTACTGGCTTCAGAAAATACATCAGCCCCAGTTCAATATATATCTAGGAAACTGCAGAAAAAAATGTAATAAAATGCAACTGGGGAAAATAAGAAAGAAACTTGGAAAATGTCTTGGATGAGACTCAGGTTCTAAATTCTTTTGGCTGACATTTAAGTTTCAAAGTTAATGCCTTTCTCAAGTTGCTTTTCATCTTGAAGAACCCTGTTATGAAGATGAAACAAAATAGTTTTGTTTATCTAAATTTCTCAACTTTCCCCCAAACACTCATTTTGAGCTTTATCTTCCTTCATCTGTAAGCCATCTTACTTGTACATGTACAAGCACTGATAGATTTTTATTTTCCATGTAGGTAATAAACTGAATTAGGCAATTCCTAGGAGATGAATAATGAAAGGTTACAGTCACTGCTGAAAGGTTTTCGTGTACTATTGTCATGTCCTTCTCCATGATGGGCTCTATAAAAGTGGATGTAAAGTAGTCCATGATAATAGCTAAAGGATCTTTCTGACAGCCAATCCATTGAGTTTTTTTAAATTTTTGATTCTAGACATGAAACCAGCATTTATACAGCCTCCAGAGGATACCACTGTTACAGAGGGAATGACGGCAGTGCTAACCTGTGAAGTTTCAGGGGCTCCAAAACCTGCCATCTCATGGAAGAAAGGTAGCCAGTTATTAAGTAGTTGTGGAAAAGCTGTAATCCATGTTTTCTTAACCATTGTTGTTACTGGGATTCTGTAGATCCATTTAGTGCATATTTTGTTCATTTTTCTGGTTCTGCGAGCAGAGGGTTTGTTGGGGGGCTGTTGTGAGCCAGTGGCCTGGATAGGCTGTAATAGTCATCTGGGAGAACTAGGATTGCAGCGCTTACCCTGTGCAGTCTACGTGACACTAATCATGCTGGTTTTCCCTTCTGTGTTTCAGGAAACCAGATCTTAGCCAGTGGCTCAGTTCAGATTCCTCGGTTCATTCTTCTTGAATCTGGAGGGCTCCAGATAACACCCGTTTTCCTTCAGGATGCCGGCAATTATACTTGCTGTGCAGTCAACTCTGAAGGAGCTCTGAATGCTTTTGTGATGCTGACAGTGTGGAGTAAGGATAACGCTTTGTTTAAAGTCTAACTTTAATCAAGTATTAATCAGTTTTTGTTGTATGCTCAGGAAATTTTCATAAGTAATTATGCTTTTCCAGTTAATAGAGATACTTGTATGATTTAATAGGAATAATGTATCTATTTTAGGAAACCTATTGCAAATATCCTTTTTGATTGTAAAATTATGCATATAAACTTTTATATTTTGTGAAAGGAATTGTATTTAAATAGAGCTTCAATCACAATTACAGTTTTACTCAGGTTTTGCCTTGGAGAATCTTGCATTGCAAATCAGACCTTTTAACTTGTAGATGTGGCTGGCTGCAGTTAGTCTCTTCCTCCAGGAGTCCGCAGGCAGTATAGACTGGCCCATGCTGTGCCTAAGGCTGTGGCCACAGTTACAGTGGATGTGATCTTCCTCATACCTTTGTATTTCTTTGTGGCCCTGGGCACTGTTAGAAGCCAAACCAAAGTACAGCAGACTTCAGCTACTCTCTCGTGCTGCAGATTGGCACGGCACAGGGCAACCCATGAAATGATTTTGTCCTTTACCATTTGCCCTTGATCTCTATTTTTTTTTATTTCCTCTGTTGGGGCAGAGAGTCTGATCCAACAGGTTCAGCTGTGTTACTCCTAGATGAGTTAAATTTAAGTGTAATGTGTTTTTTGCTACTAAAGGTAGGAAACCTGAGGTGGGACTAAAAATAATTAACAACAATGAAGATGGTGATAAATACAGAAGTGTTGTGGCCCTCTCCTTTCCCGTGCTTGAAGTACTGATTATGCTGCTGATGTGTGGTGCATATATGACATTCGTTAATCCCCAAACTGTGCAAGTTAAATCAGCAACACTTTGCCTTTTCCACATGGGAATACCTGAAAACAATACTGGCAGTAACTGTAATGTACTTGTGTCATATGGCCATCATATTTATCTTACTGACAATGTAAAGTTAGTATACATATCAGGATGTTTTAAACTGAGTGATATCCAGGTGTATGGATGAAGTAAAGGAGATCCTCCCTATTAATTCTCAAAGGCACGGTTCTTATATGTATTAAAGATAGTTCCTGTTCATTGTACTGCACTGGAGGGGGAAAAGAAAAGTGAATATAACCTAATATTTGTGTAGCAACAACACCAGTATAAAGCTAGAAGACATACATAGGTACATCAAGAATAACGCTAAAAAGTCCATGCTATTAGTTAACTCTTGATTTTGCTGATGATTCATTCGTGTGCGTGTATGCGATATCTCAGTAGACGCTGATTATCTCTGTAGGGATTTGGGACTGATTAACATTATCCACATATCTTCTATACTCATCCTAGTTGTCTACCTGCTTCAGCTGATGCTATCTGCTGCTGCTACTGTGTGTTAAGCATAATCGAGATCTTTCACACCAGATCTGGTTGCTGTAGTTACAGCAATTATTGTGTTCTGGGTCTCCAGGAGGTGCTTGAATAAAGATGTTTTGAAGCATTTCAGTAAACAGCATATCTTTCTTATATGGAAAATTCAGACTACCAGGAACTCCTCCTTCTTTAACCTCTTTCCTGGATTTGACGAGATTGTAGGATGCCATTTAAGTTTTTCTCTTTCTGGATATTTTTCTAGTGTATTCTTCTTTGCACAGATTTTCCTTGGTTTTGTTTTCCCTGCTCCAAACAGTATGACTTGTTTCCTGACTAAATGTATGTTTGGATCCATTTGTAATGCATTACAAACATACTTGCTACCTTATGACTTCAGGGAGTTGCCATAGATGCTTACCGCAAGACAAGAGAGAGTTAGTACAGCTTTAGCGCTCTTCCTACTCGTGTCGCTGCTGACTTGGACTCATGCCCTCTGCTGCTTTTGCTTCTCTGCACCCCACAGCGTACCACCTCTTCTGGACACAATGACATTAGAGGGAAGGGAGCCTTCACAGCAAAGACTTGGAATGGCCTGCTTGCTTTGAATGACAAATGTTCAGTTGCCTGCTCTCTGAGTGAATACCCAAGTCAAAATGCTGTAATTTCACCTGAACTATGGCTTGTGTTCCTTTCAGATCGCACTTTCATTGTTCACCCTCCTGAGGATAGCACTGTGATCAAAGGAACCACAGCCACTCTGCGATGTGAAGCAACTCATGATCCTAGAATTTCAATCAGGTTGGTGGTGTCCATTCTTGTTTGTGTGGTTTATCTAAGCTTAATTTTATAAGTTATATGAATAGCATTAGGTGAAAAGTTTCAGGACCCCAGATTTTAACACCAGACCCCTGATTACTGCATTATAAGGTGGTACGCTGTATCATTAATCACATAAATCCCATCTTCCATTTCAGCCTTATGCATTATTTACAATGAGCTATGTTCCACTTCATGACTTCAGTATAGCCTTCCATGATTTTACTGTCAAGGTTAATACGCTATCAATAAAACCAGCTTGTCAGAAGCTGATACTTAATGAGAGTAAAAGCCAAAGAGAAGGAATAGGATTTCAGAAGTGTTTACATTGGGGTGCCTGAAAGCAACACGAGAGATGCCCGTGTTCTTGGAAATAGCTCAATAACTAGGGGCCATATTCCGCTTTAACTGCATGAAGGAAAGCAGAATTTGTCTGAACTATTAAAATTTGCGCTAGAGCATTTAGAGGAAGCTCAGCGTTTTAAAATAAATTTACCATGAAAATTCATGTAGTCTGAAAGCAACACAAATGAAAGAAAATGCAAGGAACAGCTTGGAGGGTGCTAGAAGGGTGAACTGCAGAAAAAAACTTTGGAAAGAGAAATACAGGTGTAAACATTTCATGTAGAGATACTTAATTGTAAGACACATCTTTGACATGTTGTTATGTGTGTGTTATAACGGATAAGCTCTAGTAAACCTTGCCACAGCAGTTTAAGATGTTACTGATTATGGCAGTCTAAGGTTATTACAGTCTTAGCAGAGATGGACCAACACCTCAGCTGTTAACTTCAGAGCAGGATGTTCTAGTTTAAAATGCTGACGAAGGTGGACTTTAGAACTTGGACATGAGTACTTCACCTTTTCCATGTAAAATACATAGTACTGTTTATAAAATATGTAGTAACTTGGATGCAATTACATTTCTTGTTCTGATCACTGATCTAAAACTAAAATTCGTAAAAGACATTGTTTCTGAAAGTAAATGTAGGGGCCTGTCATTTTTAATGGACGATTACAAAAGTTGATATCTTATTGCACAGTTCAAATAAATCTGTTTCAAAGTTCTTGTGAGTAATTATTAACCGAAGCATTGTAATACTCAGGTACGTTTGGAAGAAGGACAGTGTTGTAATAAATCCATCCAGCAGTTCCAGGATCACGGTAGAGAAAGACGGAACCCTCCTCATCAGCCAGACATGGTCAGGTGACATTGGAGACTACACCTGTGAGGTCATTTCTTTTGGAGGAAATGACTCCAGAATGGCTCGACTAGAAGTGATGTGAGTATTCCATCTTAAATATACACTATACTTGGTTTCAGATACCCTTGGGTATTTTTCTAGCATTTCATTCTAGGAGATCTGGGAAATGTGTAAGTTTGGTTTCTGGTGTGGGTTTCTTTAGGGGAAATTAAGCCTGGCTCATTTCTGATTAAATTGCCTTGAAATGCGTCCTCCCTTTTGCATGCTGCCTTGCTGCTTGGACTTCCAAGTACCTGGAGCCTTGGAAATTACTTCCAAGCAACTGCATCTCTCTGAATCCCCATGTGTACCTGCCCGTCTGGTTGGGTGATTGAGCTGAAGGGATAACAATTAAGAGGTTACAGTCCGCCTGAAGTCAGCAACAAGCGGACTGCTGCTGGGGAATCTAATTGGACATGTCCTGTTCAGCATCGTTATCAGTGATCTGAAGGAGGTGTTGGAGTGCATGCTCATCAAGTTTGTAGGTGGCACAAAATGAATGGGGGACAGCTGAGATACACTGGAGGGCAGGACCGCCATTCAGAGGGACCTAGATAGGCGGAGAAATGGGCCAACAGGAACGTCACGAAATTCAGCAAGGACAAATGCAGCATCTGCATCTGGGGAGGAATAACCTTTTGCAGTAACACAGTTTGGGCACTGACTGGCTGGTGGCAGTTCTGCTGGAAAGAACTTGGGGATCTTGGTAGACAGCAGCTGAACGTGAGCCAGCTGTGTGCCCTGGCAACAAGAAAGGCAGACAGCATTCTGGGCTGTGTTAACACGAGCATAGTAGATTGATGGACATGATTACCCCCTTTTATTTGACACTTATAAGCCTACATCTAGAATACTGTCTCCAGTTTTCAGGACCAGACTGGATAAACTGGTCTGATCTCATGGCTGACCCTGCTTTGAGCAGAAGGTTGGACAAGAGACGACCTGAGGTCCCTTCCAAGCTGAATCCTTCTGTCATCCCATGCTGTAGGGCTTTTTCATAAAGTCCAGGTGCTGCACTGTGATGCCAAGGTTATAAGAAAATGTTTTCCTACTTTTAGTATTTTCTCTCTGTTAAACATATATCAGAATAGCTGGTCCCTGGACAGGCATTGCTTACTCTTGTATTCTCTTTATGCACAGTTTTTCAGGGAAAAAAAATATTTTTGTATATGCCGTTCTTTATTCCTAAGGATCTTCAAAAATAAAAACAAGAAAACGTTTAAAGTGCAGTTCAGTTCTGAAAAAGGATTATAAAAATGTCATTATGGGGTGCCATATTTTCTATTTCTGTCATTCCACTGGGGTGAAGTGCACTTCTATTTTATGTTTATCACTAAAAGCAACAACTGTGGTTTTGGTACATGTGTGGAGCAGATCAAATGAATAAGAAAGGTAATGTTTTATGTAGACTTTATTTATTTATTTATTTGAGTAGTGCTGCATGCTTTAATTTAACTAAAATTGCGTCTGTTTCTGCTGGTCATGCCTGATCTCTCTGAGAAGATGGCAACTTCTGCTGTTGGCAGTGTAATGAGTTCACCTCTGAGATTTGCTATGCAGAGGGCTGTTTGATACAGCATTATTCTGACAGTGCCAAGGCTAGATCAGATGCCCATTTTCAGAGAGCGGTCATACATTCTTTCTCTAATTAAGCACTCCTCAGCTCTCCTCCCGGAGTGCATTTTGCTGCTGGTTTGAATCCAAGAGCAGAAGACAATTCAAAATATATTGCTACTGTATAACCATACTTGCTTTTCTCTGAGGCGGTTTTTGAATGGAGGGCAGAAAATTATGGAGTAAAGACTGAAAAGAATATTAAAATCTGGACTCTGAAGCAAAGTTATAAATGTGTGGTAAACACTTCAGCGTTCTTACCATTTCTTAATCCTAAACAGCAAAAGATGCCCTATGCAACACAGTACAGCACGGCAGATGTATTTACTTGCGGTTTCCCATTGACCAGTGAGGAACAAGTTTATACTCCCTAAAACTCAGGCTGGAAGTTAGCTGGGAGAGGTGCATCTTCTGTACGCTGCTGAGACTGCCTTTCTTGCACCCCAGCTTGTTCCAGTTGTGTTGGCTGGCTCTCCATGCACGGGGACTGGCTCTTTATCCTGTATCTCCACTTCCTCCGATGTGCTGTTGCTGATCACCTGTCACCTGTTTTTCCTGGAGGAATTAAAGAAATATATCAGACCCACTCTTTTCGAGGACTTCAGTAACTGATAAGTCACTCAATCATACCTTGAATTGTGAGGTTATTTCAAAGTAGCGCTGCAGGTAGTGCAATAATGCCAAAAAACATTGCATTCCTTTGCAGCTTTCATCATTATCGTTTGGCTTAGCAGCACAAATCTGTGAGAAATAGAGATACATGATACAACAGAAGTGAAATGAAGAAGAAAATATGTGGAAAGGAAATGTCTGAAGTAAAGCTTAAATTAAATTCTAGCTCATATACGAATGACAGATCTATAACGTTCCCTGTTCTCCCAGATAATTCTCTTGTGCAGAACATTAACAAACAGGGCATGTACATTCCCATCGATGAGCACTTACACTTCAGTGCCTTGAGTACCACTAATGTCAGACAAATGTTCAAAGGAGGCCTTTCAACAAATTACAGACTCGAGTAGTCTACCAACGGATAATATCCTAGCCTACCTAGCTTTATCTGACAACTCCAATCATCTCACCACCTTTTTTCCCCCAGGAACCAGCATGTCCCTCTTCTACCTCTAGGCATGTCAAGAGAAATTTCCAAAGGCACAGATAAGTTTGTTACTGATTTCTATTCAAACTGATTCAATTCAAAACCATTGACCTTCAGGGTGACCTTCAGTTATTTAATCTCTGGGTGGTCTGGGTTTCTAACCTGTGAAAAGAAGGAAAGAAAACTTTTTCTTCCTTTGTCTTCCCTTGTTGGAAGACAGACGGGGAAAAAGGTATTGTTTCTTGCTAGAAGAACATATGCTGATAGCACAGCGTGGTATACATTGCAGGATGGGTCATTTTTCTCAGCATGTCCATGAAGAAATAAAATATTTGAAAAGGAAAGCCAGAAAACTAATGACAAACTTGCTAAAGTGCAGCCAAAGGTTACTTTGCTCATCGATTTTGCACTGATGATACTTGGGCACAGAAACTAATTGCTAGTCAAGATACTCTATTCATTCATTTGTCTTCCCTCTAAATGTGTTTATTCTTCATGTACATCTCTTGATTTGATTTGCATGAGGTAAAACATTTGCGAGTGATGTTTCTCTTCTGGAGGAGAGAGATTTTAATTTTTTACTTGCTACTTCTTTCCTCCTAGCAGAGCTTCTCGACTGCAAATACAGAAACATTTGCAGGTCTTTTGATGATGAGCTTGTGCTTCTCTTGCATTCCTCCAAGTCACAGGATTTGATCCTGAAAATAATTGGATGTTATGAAACATCCCAGCTTCATTTAGCTTACTTTCATAGTCCTGTAAATACCATACTGAAATACATATAGAGGAAAAACTGCTTGTTCCTAAAGCTGCATAAGCTGAGTTATCACAATGTATCACTCACCTGATGGGAAACTGTGCTGATTCCAGCTCAAAGTATCCTGAGGGTTCTCAGTGTATATAAAATATGCAGAATTGACGCTATCTATGCCTGATGATACCTGCTGCTCAATATCAGCCTGTCTGCAGTCCATAGTAAAGAATCTCTTTGTTGTATGAATCTGACTGAAAAGTATGGTAATGCTGCATTGTTGGAAAATCAAAGCCCTGTACAAGCCTCTCTTATGTCACAACATATAGTTAAATCTTTTAGGCTCTTTCTCTATGCAAAAATATGGGGAGGACAATGTAATACAAAAATAGACAATTTATTCCTGGCAGCAAGTTCATCTTCTTTCAGTTCTCTTTCACCAGAGAAGGAACTATTATTGTTCTGTCTTCTTCAAAAGCAGGAGAGGGGAGCTAACCACTTATAATAAAACCCAGTGGGTTGCAAAGAATACACAGTATTGCCTTTGTCAATCATTTATACATGAATTTTGATACCCTTTTTACTAGAATATTTGTAATTGCTGCTTCTTCCAATTTCTTCCCAATATATCCCATTAAAAAATAGCTTGATTACTAAAAATAAAATCAGTAAGACCAATGCAGAGTAACAAATCAAAATGTCTCATTACAAGCTTATCTTTGTATGGATCCCATATCCCTCAGTTCCAATAGCCCATCTCTTTTCCTTTCTGCAGGGAGTGAAAACAGGAAGGATGTAAAACTTGAAAATATATTATTTCTTCCTCACTAGAAAGCAAGCTTCTATTTATTTTTCCAAGCTCTCTATTGAGATGTCATCTAAGAAGTAAGGTTCACTGCTGAGTCTAAATGCACTTGATACTCAAAAGAGAAATACCACCTGGAAATACACTTGGAAATACAATTGTGCCCGTTCATCATTGAAGGTATATCAGAAATGTAGGTGTGTTTAGCAAAAAGAAAGCATAAAATTCAAAAACCTTTCCCAAGTCGTCTGTAGGTTTGAGCTTGTGGTGACCACCAAAATGAAATGGGAAATAAATCTGTGCACTCTGGGACTTGGCAAGCCTTTCATTTCAAAAAATCCACCTCATTATACACCTGCGAGAGACAAAAAGCCTCGAAACTAATGGATGCCTTGCAAGAATCTTTCCTGTGGTTAGAAATTGGAGAGGATTCTTTTTCAAGAGAAACTGGAAAGTCCTGAGCAACAGATGACACATTTCTCAATTTAAAGCATTACAAACTTTTATGAGCAAAGCCATCAGGGCTAAGTGCTTTGTTAGGCTTCCTGCCTCAATTTCTTACCATGTTATTGGGTCTAGCAGATGAACCACCTGCTCCTGAGTGAAGCTTGTATGGTGGACCTGGTTTAGGATATCATTTACGAAATAGGAGTGGGACAACAAGAAAACTTGTTTAATCTCCCTTGCCTTTTTAGTAATCCCCTCTTCAGTCACAGTCTCTCTAATTACCTGCTGTTAGACCGTTTTTCTCAGAAATCTCTCCAAACCGTGTCTGGTTTAGTTCCCTCAGCAAATAGTCTGCTTTTAGCTAATTTTATAAAACACTCTTATGTTTGCTGAGTGAATTTTTCAGCTGCCCTCTGGCAGTGATGAGCTGACTCAAAACATTAGGGTTTCTGTTTCGAACATGCATCATCTGCAACTAGCTAATATTTCTCTCCTGGATTGTCACAATGACTTCATGTTCTTTTCTTGCAAATCCACTATTTTAATTGCTTTGTCAGAGTCCCCTCAGGTCACCTTGGTGGCTATGCCATTAACCCTGGGCTTATCTATCTATTACAGATTTTAAAGTGTCCATATACATATTTTGCTATCATACAAAGTAAGTTATGGAAAACTTGCCTCCATGCAACTCTTCAGCATTAGAGGAGTGAGGTCTTAAGATATCCTATATCGAAAAACCTTCATATATTTCCTGTCTGGGATTCAGTGAATAAAAAAAGGAAAGATTATAATGCTGGAATTAAAATTCCAGCGTCCGATCAAGGGCTGTTCTGTGCCCTGGATGTTACTGTCCTAAACCTCATCCACTTTCTTGGTGTATCAGAAGTTGAGCAGTTCAAGTCTGAGGTCCTTCTCATCCTGAAGAAGAGCTGAAACTACCATTCCCTGCAATGATTTCTTGGATGTTAGCAGCAAGGAAAAGTAATTCTGTTAAAGGAAAAAAAGAAGCAATGATCTCTTTTGGGAACGTGAATATTCATGATGGTGGTACAGGTCTCATTTGTCGTCCCTTCCACACAGTATGTGGTAGCAAATGAGGAGGAGACAAAGTGTAAGTGCTTGCTAAGGTAGGAATTACTATTTATTAATCTCTGCTTTTGTATATTACAAAGAGAGAAGTACACTTCTGTGCTGAAATGTCTTTGTAGTTTTAAATATTTATTTCTGTCCAGGTGTGTTTCTTAGGCACTTGTTATGTGTGCCTTGAGGGATTTAAATCTGTAAGCACCATCTGTTGCTGTTTGGTGTGGACACATATGGCTCAAGAATATGATATTAGTGGAGATAGGTGTACTGTACGGCTGCTGCAGCTCACGCTACTCAATCTCTGTCTGAACAGAAAGTGCCCGTCTCCTTCATGCTGCTGACTGATTACCATTTTGTGTCAATCTAAGAGAATAATCAACTAAACCCAAATGCTAAGCAAACCCCCCCATGTTTAAATTCAGTTTGTGCCTTAAAACATGTCAAAAAAGGAATGTCCCCTCTCCTCCAAAAGTCTTCTGAGACTTGTACGGTAAGAAAAAGATACTGAGGTGTAAAGTCTTTCTTAGTCATGTAGCCTCTGTCCTCAAACGAGCTGTTAATTCAACCCTTCTAAACGTATGGGGAAACAAGTTTAACTAGTAAATGCACACCCTGGAAATATCTGTAATATATTCCAGGAGTGTTTGTTTATTTCCCAGAAAAGGAGTTACATGGGGATAAGTTTGCTGTGAGCTCCCCCTCAGCCATCCCTCCTACATTGCCTCCTGTGTGAGCGTCGTCTTCTGGAAGAAGCTGGAGCCACAGCCCCTCTCCGAGCTCTTCCCCACAGGGCCTGGTGATAAATGAAGTGGGGACTGGGACTTCCGTGAGCCATGTCACAACAGGACGTCTCGCTCTCTTTCCTTTGCCAGCTTAATCACAAAAACACTTTTCCAACCAGCTTGCTTAGGACATAATGATAAATTGTAGTGGAGTTTTAATGTTTATTATAATTTAATGTTTCATTCAAAATTAAGTAGCCCACTCCTGCAGTCCCTGGGTAAATGGCCATATCTTAAACCCCGCCTCCACACTTGTCCAATCACAGGCTTATTCTGCCATTTTGTCTTGCAGGCTGGCTGCCCTCCTACTTTGTTTCCAGGTCCCCCTCTTCCCTAAACTTGTTTATCGAAAATTTTGCAGTGTGCTCTGTTCAAAATCTGCTTCTGTTGGGCCCATACATACTCCTTCCTGTGCCCGATATCTCTTCTAGCCTAAAACTGACGGTGTCTTAGCCGTCTGTGCATCGGGGGTCTGGAGCTTGGCTGGTGCATGCCCAGACCTACATGAGAGCACAGTCAGCCTAAACTCCTCATAATCAAGGCATCTTGAGCGAGTGATTTAATGAAGTTCTGAATCACACCCTGAGGTGTCATTCCATGTTTACTACAGAAAGAGCCTGGGGTGACCGTGCTGCTAATTTGGTTAGGCATTTAAAGTCAAATGAGATGAGCCTTTGAGTCTCAGGTTTAGCCTTAGGAAGCATCAACCCATCGACCCTACAGAGGTGGGCAGGTGAGTGTCTTCCACTTGTGTTGTCTCATTATCTGTGTGTTTTTCCTGCCGCTCCTCAGCTCTTCCAGCAACCTTTTTTTTTTTTTTTTTTTGAGTTAACTCTATAGCATGTAGCCATCATAAACACGTAAACAAAAGCATACACAGTTTTAACAGAAAAATAATAAAACTATTGCCTGGCTCTCCATATGCTCCTCAATCTTCCAGTAGAAACCCGAATCCAGGACATATTTATTAGTCTGGCTTAAAGCCAGGGTCTGTATTTACTTTTGTGAGTGGCTAGGAGTTGCGGTTTTTAAATAACTGTAAGCCTTCAGCAGCATGATACATTGCAACCAGAAATTACTACATTTTTAAATTAAGCATGTGAAGTGCCCTTGTGGCTTTCTGCTTTGGTCAGAGCAAATTAGCAGTGGTGCATGCTGAGGAAGGGTTACCCGCTGCCTTCCTGGGGAGGAGCAGTGGATTGAATGGGTGAAAACTGGTCCTCCTTGCTTTTCCTTCACTGTCTGAGGTCCTTAGGAACCAGGATGATAAGGAGCAGAAATCAGGCTCAAATATAATGGCTGAAGGGCTCCTATCACTTAATGCAGATCAGCATTTAAAGGATGTAGCAGAATTTCTCACTGCACCATGCAGCCTCCGACTTTCAGCCAATGAGTACAAATTAACTGTTTTTCCACAAATTGCCTTTATGTGGAGAAATTACACGTTTTAATTGAGCTGCTGTTTTATTTTTGTTTTTTAATGTTTCATTTTGTCTTTCCATGAGGTTTCTGCAGGCATTTTCACTACATTTTCTAGTTGGGTGCTTCCAAAAAAATCCTTATTATAGGGAGGAAAAATTCTACCCATGACAGGATGAGCCTGAATCCGCGAGTAAATCAAGCTGCTCTGTAGCCTAAGAATACATATGGTAATTTTGATTAGTAGCTCTATATGGATAGTGTCAATGTCTTCTGCTTCCTTGAGTATGAAAAATTCCATGTTAAATCATAACTCCCTTGTGTTTTACTGTTTATACGTATTACTGCTGTCATATTGCTAGGACATCATCATAAGAAGGGGAAAAAAGTGAGAGAGGAAATTTATTGACCAACTTCTCTCAGTCAAAAACAGTATGAAAATTGGCTTTTTTCCACATTTAGCAACACTTACATTAGCTGTTCTAAGCATCAGCCTTGGGACTTTCAGCATAATTTTTTTTTTTTCCAAAAAAGATAAAGTTGTGAAGAATTCAGAGATATCTTTCATTTATTTAATTGTACAATAGCTGCTGGTAGTTTTATATCTATCATCATATGAGTCTGATGTCGTGTGCCTTTAACTGCCTGTAGGACTGTAGCTGAATGAAATGTAGATTGATTTTTTTTTTTTTCTGTGCTGTTTTTTCCTCCCTTTCTCTGTTCCTTAACAGCGAGCTGCCTCATTCCCCTCAGAATCTTCTGGCCACTCTAAATTCCTCATACAGCCGCAGCGTGATGCTCTCCTGGGTGCGCCCCTTTGATGGAAACAGCCCTGTTCTCTACTACATGGTCGAGCTCTCTGAGAACAGTGAGTAAAGTCAAATATTTTTCAACCTCATGTTCTTCTTAATTATTCAGCCTTCTTTCAGGCTCACCTTTTACCAGAGCTACCAACAAAATATTACTGTTGTTTGCTAAATGAGAGACAGTGTGCACAAAGAGGAAGCCCTGGGTTTTATGCTCAACTATTCACACACTGAAAGAGTTAAATAAGAATAAGAGGCTTGAGGTGGTGGAATTGTTATAGAATCACAGAATGCTTTGGGTTGGGAGGGCCCTTTAGAGCTCACCCAGCCCAACCCCTGCAGTGAGCAGGGACAGCTTTAACCAGAGCAGGGTGCTCACAGCCCCGTCCAACCTGGCCTGGGATGTTTCTGGGGATGGGCCCTCCACTGCCGCTCTGGGCAACCCCTTCCAGTGCTTCACCACCCTCATTGTAAAAAATTTCTGCCTTCTAACCAGTCTAAATCTATTCTTCTTTAGTTTAAGACCATTACTTGTTGTCCTCTCACAATAGGCCTTGCAAAAAAGTTTGTCCCCATCTTTCCTTTAGGCCCCCTTTAAGTACTGCAAGGCCGCACTAAGGTCTCCCCGCAGCCTTCTCTTCTCCAGGCTGAACAACCCCAACTCTCTCAGCCTGTGCTCGTAGGAGAGGGGCTCCAGCCCTCGGATCATTTTTGTGGCCTCCTCTGGACCCGCTCCAGCAGTTCCATGTCCTCCTTGTG